TTCTTCTTCTTCTTCTTCTTCTTCTTCTCCTCCTCCTCCTCCTCCTCCTCCTCCTCCTCCAATATGACGTTTCATGGTATATTTTATTATTCTTTTATAGGTTTTGTTTATATGTTTCCTTCTCCTGTTGCCACCTTGAACATCAGGGGATGTTTTTAAAGCCCTTAATAAATATGACTGAGTATATTTCTAGAATCCTTCACACTTTGTAGGCCAGTAAACTGACAACTTTTCATTAAGTCTTCTAATTCTGAACTGCCATAAATGCTTAATGCATTTTCTAAAATGTATTTGGGGATTTCTGTTTAGGGAATTTTTATCAGGAAAGTTGCTGGGAAGAGGAACTACTATACCCATTACCCACATTTGGTAATGCTATCTTTGCTCTTCTTTAAATAGCACAGACATTTTCATGTTTATCCTTTTTGGGTATATTTTTTCTGAAGTAGCTGTTACAGAGTTCTTAACCTGTTTTAAAACTCTTTTCCCATAGTTGAGGAAACCATCCTTGAGAGCAATCTGCATGGAAAACTCTTTATTAATCGCATTTTCCGTATTGGTGCAGATAGGATGTTTGAAATGCTCTTCACTAATTCCCATTTCATGCAGAGATTTCTCAGGACTAGAAATATAACAGGTAAGCTACTATAATTTGTATTGTTTACTTTGGAGAAAAAACATGTTAGTCTCTCTTTTAACAAGATGAATATTTTGTTAAAAGCAATTGATACAGTACAAAGGCTGGGTTCAGATATAATGCAGACCCATTTTTTTCATGGTTGCATTCAGATGATCGGATCTCGCCTGGTTTCATGAAACTATATGCCACTTCTTTTGCTCCTCCCTTTGCTTCAGTGGGCAAGCAAATGAAAAATCATAAGCAATGATGATAAGCAAAAATCATAAGCAAAGTTATCTTCTGGATAACATCTGAACTGAGATTCTATTAATAATCACTCTGAAACAACCTATGGTTTAAAGTTAGCTCATATCTTGGCTTTTGGGGAAGCCATTGGACATAACTGAACATTTGCATGCAATGTGCTTTTAATTGGAGTATTTTGGCTTTGTTTTCCTTTTCATGCAAAGAGATGCATATCTTTTAGCTAGGATGTGATTATCTGAACACAGTCACTGTCTGAATGTAAACTTGCTCACAAGTCATGGTTTTTTGGCAGCCAACACATATGGATCTGAAATCACAATTTGATATTTCTTTGCAAATTATATTCAGTATCTGAATTGACAAACTACAGCTGGCCATAATAGGTTATCATACTATAGATAGAACTTATAAAATTGAGTGCTGATCACCTGAGCAGAGAAAGCAGAAGAGTGTCCAAACAACAGGTCATTTTATGTTTGAAACAGTTTTCATTCAAAATGTTTCGCACATGACTAACAATTAATACTAACCATTATTTTGTATTATGTTTCAGTTCAGCCAAAAGCAACAATGTCACACTTCAGAGCACCACTATACATATACGGGACTGTTGTTGCACTGATTGATCTTACTCTAATTAATTAAAACCCTTTCCTATGATTAATGTTTCACATGCTTTTCTAAATAAATTGAAAGCATTCCATGCTTTCTTTTAGAACTTTTTCCAATGTAGATAAAAATAGCCTGTTACAAGAAGCCCTATCAGTAGCCACAGGCAAAAAGAATGCCCTAAAAGAAGTAGTTCTTTTAGGCATTGCAATAAATCCTCGGCTGCTGTTAAAAACACCTCCTCTTCTCTTCTCTTCTCTTCTCTTCTCTTCTCTTCTCTTCTCTTCTCTTCTCT